TGGACACAGGTGTATTTACGGTGGCTGCATTCCATTTGGAAAGAGCTTGTTCTTGTGCATGCTTGCTCTGGATCACAAGGAAGTGGTTTCTAATTTGTGCTGAAAAATCTCCTCGTGCTCGTCAACAAGTCAAAGGTTTAATGGTGGAAACTGTCATTTGTCCTGTGTGTGCACCTGGATGTAATAGTGCTTTTTCTTGATTGTAACAGTGTAGCAAAACCTTTAACTTAAGAAAGAGAAACCCCATTAGAAACATTTGCCTGAGACAAGTTAAACCAACAACAAAAAACATTATAAACTCCAGCTGCAAGACTACTTTTTGGATTATGTCCTATCTGCTTGGACTTGTTGACCCATTACTCACTTAAATTAATTGGAATTAATGTGGCATGATAACCTTAAGATAAACAGAAAAAAACGCATCACCTGACCTATTTGCCTAAATAATATCACATATTGCCTAGTAATGGTTTTTATAGGTGTAATAGCCTTATACTAATAAACATCAAATCAAATGGTCAAAATTTTTATGCATAGATATTGTTAGGGAATATTCCATATGAATATTTTTATTGTGTTTTTATATAATGGCTGAGATGGCTAAGGACATCTTTCGCTCCTGCTTTGAGACCAAAACACTCTCATCTCAACCTGGAGGCCGTCTCGTAGAGCCTCCTTGACATTGTCGCCATAAGAACACGCCAGAAACTTTTTATCTCCATCTGAAGGCCATGGAGCTAAAACACCACAGCCAATGGTCTGTTTTAATTATTTTTATTTATAGTGTATTTATAATGCTAAAGTAAGTGTGCCTATACTAGATCCCTACTGAGAGCCTAACAAGCTGAGGATCTTTAATTAACTAGGTCATTATTTCCGTTTCAAGCCTCCAGAAAGCCACGTCTTTCACTTGCTACCATGCTAATTGTAGCTTGTTGCAAACACATTTGAATGATGATTAGAAGTAACAGGTAGAAGATGGTGAGCACTTCTCTGTGCTTCATAGGACTAGCGGAAGGGGTGCTTTGTTTCAAGTACCTTATTAAAAGGCATTTAATTGGTAGAAACAGAATGACTAAAAATGTTTGTGGTATTTGACAATGTGACGTTTTGACATTGTGGCATACCTTGAAACTGGTTACCAGTCTGCTACAGAAACTCTGCAGCTTGTGTGTCTAATAGAGGGCTACTCTATATGACAATAGACCTTCATTTTATGCAAATATTGCTGTGTTTATGCTTAAGTGATGGAACACAAACATTCTCTAAATTAAATAAATAAATAAAGTATTATGAAATAAGAAAAATGTTCATTTTTATTCTTTTATTCCATAATGGTGCTTTTTCACAACGGCTTATTTATTTCATAATGCCACTTTTCAGCAGAATGACTTCAGCTGTCAATCAACGTTAGTGGGTTGGACGTTCACGCCCACTGGCTGATCCTTCACATCCATTAGTTTTCTTCCTTTTTTTTTTTTCTCCAACAAATCTTTATTTGTACATCCATTAGTTCCTGCTCACTGGTACAGCTAGCATAGCAGCTAGCAGCGACTTGCTAGTTCAACAGCCATGAAGGATGGCAGAGTTGCATGAACTTCATTCAGCTCAGGTAACTTTAGCAGATCAAACTGAGATGATTACGTTCTCAGAAGATACAGGTGTGACAAAAAGTAATGGGCGGCCAAAAATCGATCGGAGCACAGGAGGACTCACTGTTTTAGTTCTTTGAATTTAACAAGATTAACACGTAAAAACGATTATTTGTTTGCTCTAAATTATAGCAAAAGTGTTTCTCCTTTTACTTTTACCGTAATGAACGCACTTTAATGGTAAAAAAATCTTTAATATATTATTATTTTATTATCATATATTAATATAAATCATTAATAGTCTAAGTCCACGTGTGATAAATGTAACTTCTTTGTAATTTCAGGAACTTTGATGTCTTTTAAGGAAAATAATTGTGTTTATGTGAAGGCTCAACCAGTGGGCGTGAAGGTCCAACCCACTGACGTTGATTGACAGCTGAAGTCATTCTGCTGAAAAGAGTCATTATGAAATAAATAAGCCGTTATGAAAAACACCATCATGAAATAAATAAGCTATCATAAAAAAACACAATTATGAAATAAAAGAATAAAAATGAAAGTTAATGCTTTATTTATTTATTTAATTTTGAGCATTTTTTGGTGTTCCACAGTAAACAACTACCGGTATAAAGAAAAGTTCAGCTGCTACATTTGAATCCCGCAAAACGTATTTCTTGAGAGAAAATGTATTTTGAACATGTTTCCCCCAAGATGTGTTTGTGAACGCAATGTGATTCTATAAGAAAATGTTGAAAAATGAATCACTTCACACCTTGGCTGGACCTGCATTTGTCTGGTAATTCAATAAGCCTGAGGGTGGACTTGATCTTTCACTAATGGTAAAGTCATCAAGGCAAACAAATCAACCAGGATGGAGGGCTCTGCCTACCAGAAACAATCCATCTCAGTCTACTTTCGTTTCTTTTTTTTTACTTGAACAGAACAAAGCCACCTGTGTGGATGTGTGTGCGTTTGTGAGCAGGAAAGAAGCCGTGTTTTCGGGTGTGTAGTTTAATTTCTGCTGTGCTCTGCCCAGGCAGACAGGCCTGTTAATGCCAGATGACTGAGCACCACTACACAGCAGTTGCTATGGTTACCAGCCAGGTTCTGTGTACACGGATACTCCTTGCAATTTCAATCTACGGTAAAGCACTGAGGGAAGAGCAAAAAAAAGCTAGACAACAAATCACCTCACCACCCACACGTGCACATACACACATGCATGCACATTACATACCCACAGCCACCTGAAAAGGTCCTGCTTTAACAGTATAGTATATGTGAAGAAATCCTTGCAAACAAGAACCCACGGATGTGCATGTTCCACCCACATGATGAGCCAGTCGCTCACCTTCATGGAGCACTCCGTACTCACAGTATTGTGCTACATAACATTAAAATGAGCTCTGTAAGGAAACTCGGCCTGGTGTGCAGAATTATCACCTGCACCAGAAGTGGCACAAAACCCAGTAGGTGAAACTCTGGGATACCTCTAAATCTAGAAACCCCTTTCAGGCAGCCTGTGCCATATTTCCTCTTGAAGGTAACAAACAATCTGTTTTACTTGCAGGTTGCCCATCTGTTTCTGATGTGTTTTTTTTTCCACCCTTACTTTAAATCTCTCACACACGCTTACAGCACACATGCATACAGGGCAGATTGGGAGTTGAAGATGAAAGGAAAAGGGAGCTGTGTCCGTGCCAGTGGAGCTGTGTGAGTGGGAAAGTGATGAAAGAGAAGCTCATTTAGTAAATTGACAGCTCCCTTCAGGATTTTTTTCTCTCCATCTTCTCCTTTATGAAAGGCCTGGGTCCTTCTCAACTCCAAATTTATTCTAATAAGGCAAGAGGAAAGTGTTACATTCCAGCATGCATTAAAAGTGACTCTGTTAGTGTTTCACTTTAGGTTTTATCTCTTCTTCTACTTACTCCCACAACTGTTTCATTCAGTCCACAGTGGATGTCAGTGCAGAAACAGATCAACTTCGATTACAGCTAAGATGTGAAAAGGAGAGCTTCAACACACAACTAGCAGATAAAAACAAATGCTTATGTATGAACTGTAAGCTACTCTATAAATAAATACTTAAAATGACCAGCATTACGCACAAACACTGCATCGTTTGAATTCCTACACAAACAAAACACACAAAGCATTAAAACTGATGTCTATTTTTTGGTTGTGGAAATCAGCAAACAAACTTTATTGAGTTTACGCCACACCATTAAGGCTATGAAAATGACGTTCCTTGAAAAAATGTATCAAAAGCGTCGTTAAAACATGAACAATGGTGTCCAGTCCTGGTCCTGGAGAACCACTATCTTGCATGTATTAGCTGTTTCTCTGCTTTTACACAACTGGTTTGAATTACAATGGAAAAACTGGCTTCTGCAGAACTTGAGAACATGCTGAGGAACAGGAAAACATCTGAACCGTGCAAGATGGCAGCCTTTGGATTAGACGCTACAACAGGTCACTGGTTCCACAGAGTACAGAGCTTCTGCAGAAGTTCTAGCAAAGATTAACACAAAGCATGACGCGCTTGCTCAGACAATATAATACAGATAAAGTGATGTCATAATTCAACGATTAAAATTGAATATTCTTAACAGCCATAGCATGTTCTTCATAATCAGTAATAATATTTAGTTTCATCTACACCTGACACTTCGCACAACAAAGTTGTAAAAAAAAAAGATATTGTGTAAGTTGTTAGCACTTAGAATGTGATAATGACTCAGCTTCCATAGGCCAGGCCAGGGGTGTCAAGCTCACCTACAAAAGGAGGCCAAAATTAAAACCTTTTTCAAATTAAGGGCCGATTTCAGAAACTACATGAACTCAAATCAGATAACCAACATATTTTCTTGGTCACAGGTTCCTCAACAAGAGTTTGATTGGTTTCATTTGATGTTTTCTGTTGTGCTTTTGACATCATTATCAAAGATTACTGAAAAATATCAAGAGATAGAAATATTTTACGTTTCACATATCATCTTGGGTGCCAGATAAGATGTCAACAAGGGCCACATTTGGCACCCAGGCGTTGAGTTTGACACATATGGCTTAGGCTAACAGGGACCCATGTGGGGCTGAGAGATGGTGCATAGGGACCACTGCAGCAGAAAGAAGGTTTGACTCTGCCATCAAATTCTGAAACCCAACCAGGTCTGAGCCTCTTTACCAAACAAATTAACTACCATGCTCCGTGCCATCCTAATGGATCTGTGTAAAACAGATGAGAATACAGCAGCATGCGGAAGGCAACTCAGGTCAGAGCATCAGTTGCAGCTCAGTTTGTTCAAATAAATGTTTTGGATTTGCTTTAAACAGACTGGATCAAAAGGTTGCAGGGACTTGAGCTACGAGGTTTTATACATGTAAGCCAGTATGCAAAACAAAACTTACCAGAACTCTGCCAGTGAGCGTCTGAGCGGAGATCATGACCCCAGCCCAGTCTTTGACTGAAGTCATCCATCCCACCTCACTGGCTGCTGCCTCCTCCTTCTCATCAGGACCTTTTGTTGTCTTGTCTGCTGCCTGATTGTTGGCAGGATTATTCACCTTCTGAGCCTCCTGAAAGAAAAAGAAAAGAATAAATAAATACCCAAGTACTCAAGTTAAGTGATAAAAGGAAGAGAACAGAGACGCTTCAAACCTTCTTGGTGACCTCTAATGTTTAGTCATGTGTCCACATATGAGCTCACATGTAAGAACTACTTCAAGAGTTACCCCTATGAATATTGCTTTAGTTGATGTGCACATATGGTTCTATACATCAGTCATTCCTTAGGGTAAAGAGCATACTGCTGCTGTTGTCACGCAGGCCCTTTAATGCTCCTTCTGCCCATATGAGTGCACAGAGCTTCTCCAACATGCTCTGTTTGGCAGAGTTGCAGCGTGCAGCTGTTCCTCTGCAGCCATTCACTCACTCCTTACTTTGACACTAGCTGCCTCTCAGCTTCCTTGTCCTTCTGGCAGAAAAAGCAAGTGAGTAGATTTCCTTATGTTTAAAGTTGCTGTGGCAACAAATCCCAGCAATTAAATCCACAGGTGCAATAATATCTGCTCGCATGCAATATATATTTAAATATACACTATATGGTGTTTCTGCAGGGTGTAAGAACAGCGTCATTATAAAACAACCCATGAGAGTGTTCTGTCCATTTCAAGAGGCTTGTCTGATCAAACTGGATTACATTTGATAATGATACGACATGAACACAGCTGCCATTTTCCTAATTTCATTCCAACCCCATAACAATGCTAATAAACTTGGCCTAAAAAAGCCTAACTTAGTCATGAGATCATTTTCTTGCTCCTCCTTTTGGCTGTCTGAGCTCCAGCAGATAAACCAGTTATTTGTGCTTCACTGGTGAACGGAAAGTCAGAGATGTTATTTCATGAAGAAAATCTGGAGCATCTGCTTTTGTCTGTAAAAGTGTTTGATTAAAAAATAATATATGTTATTATTTTTGGTCAGTTTGGTAATCCTGATTATTATAAACAGTTATTCATTTGGTTTGGAAACTTTGTATCATTGCATGTAAAGAAAGTGAATTGTTTGAAATGTGAAACTTTCATCCCAACAGTAGGCTACTGGATAAAATATTAAACACAAACAAATAAAATTATCCTTATAGTGGACTTCTAATATATTTTAGAGCTCTTTGAAATCTGTTGGGTTTTTTTTCTCCAAAATTTTGTTTTTATGTCTCTAAATTCCATGTTTTATGGTGTAACCCCATTTTTTGTCAAAAAGTGTTTAATAGTGTTTTAATAACGGATTGTGCTTGGTGTTTAATATTATTTCTGGATGCAGAGGAGCACTGTTTGTGTGGCTGCCCCCAGCCCAGGTGGAGCTGCAGCTGATTTCAGAGGTAAGACAAAAATAATACGTGCTCCTAAAGCGAAACATGGCAAAATATTTTAGTATAACAATCATTTTTAAGATTAAATTGCTTTGTGATTGTCTGGAGTACAAATCAAAGCTACAGATTTAGTGTCTTGCACAGACTTACGTTAACGTTTGATTTATAAATCATAATTAAGTTTAGTAGAAGTAGAATGAGCTGAGATGGTGTAGGGGCAGGGTGGTTGACTCAGGACCCGCAGGTCCCAGGTTCAATCCCTGGTCATTGCACATCTCATGGTGTCCCTGAGCAGGACACACTATCCATTTGCTCTGCTTTCCATAGATGCCCACTTTTGCTTTTATGCTTTTAACCCATCCACCGCCAGGTGGATGGGTTAAAAGCGTATTCAAAAATACTTTATTAATCCCAGAGGGAAATTAAATAAATAATAATAACAAATTTATTATTATAAAGTTGAGCAGCGCTGTGGCGCAACTGGTAGAGCTGCTGCCTCTCAGCGAGCAGGTTTCTGGTTCAAATCCCAGTCCGGGGACCTTTCTGGGTGGAGTTTGCATGTTCTCTCCGTGCATGCATGGGTTTTCTCCGGATACTCTGGTTTCCTCCCACAGACCAAAAACATGTATGTTAGGCTGATTGGTAACTCTAAATTGTCTTTAGGTGTGAGAGAGGGAGTGAATGGTTGTCTGTCTCGTTTGTCTCTATGTGTCCCTGTGATGGACTTGCGACCCGTCCAGGGTGTACCCCGCCCCTCACACAGTGATTGCCAGACATGGGCACCAGTGACCCCGTGACCCAAAATGGAAGTAGTAGGTAAAAGATAATGTATGGATTATAAAGTTGATCATTCTTGGAAACATAAACGGAATAAAATAAGAAAACAAACAGATTGTTTGCTGGCTGTATGGATTCACCATCGAGTGTACCAGCAGAACTGAACGCAGGCAGAAAATAGAGTCTGCCTGCCCAAAACAATTGTTTATCTGAATTTGGCCTCCCTGCTGGCCTTGGACAGGCCAACTTATCTCAAATTGCTCCTGGAGGCTACATAAACTCGAAGACCTGCCTGCACCTCCCCCCCCCCCACCCCCTCCCTCCCAAGGACATATGTGGCCTTATCAGAACTATGATGCTGATAAACACTGTACCATCTTATGAAAACTTTGGAACTTTCTGGAGTGTCCATGGATAACTCACCGCCTTGGTCGAGCTCTATGCATAAATGTATTATGATGTCATTGTATGTTGCAGTTGCGAGGACTTTTTTTTTTGCCTCTTTTACACTGTTTCCTGACCAGAGCATGATGCGAGACATAATTTATTTTGGTTTCTTCCACCCTCGTGTTCTCTTTTTCTCATCTGCCTGTATGTTGTATGTAACAGATCTCTTGTAAATGAGTCTTCGAGGCTCATTGGGAACTAACCTGTATAAATAAAGGTCTAATAATAATAATAATAATAATAATAATAATATGGTAAATTATGGGTATTTCAGATGACTGCTTTTGCAGATTTGACTAAATATTGACAACTTCAACACTAAGTTATTTTATTAAGCTTCAGTCAAGCACTAACAAAAATAAAATAAAATTAGGTGTAAAATATCTTCTTGAATATAAGATGTGGAATGGATTCAGGGAAAGTCTAGTATGAAATAATCTTTGAAGTTTTTTCCTATTTCTTCAAATCAAACCTCCCAGAACCAGCCTATCTGCTACTTGCAGGGCGGCTGCTCACGCTTTACTGTAAAAGAAAAAAACTAACCATCTGGCAGCTAGGACAGCAACATGTGGCATTGTTTTGTTAACAAGAGAAAAACGTTGAAAAAAATAGACGTCTAAAGCTATATTTTGATTTATTTTTAATATTTTGCGCATTTTTTTATAAAGCACATTATATAACATGCTGCAGAAAATAAGTGGGGGGAGAATCTTCTAAGCTCTTTAAAATGTATCTGACTGTGCAGGCTGCATGACTAAGATTCTGCCCTCCGCTAAACCGTGAACCACCGGCCCCGAGTCCGTCATCTTTAAAAGTGCATTTAGCTACACCATCAGCATCTGTCTCGCCTGTAACATGCTGCAGGTATTCAGCACAGCGTGTATGCACGCAGGTCATTCTGTACACTGATGTCTAAAGTTTCACTGGCTGCTTGTGTGAGTACGTCACAGCATGTGCACGTTGTGCCTATTAGTTTCTGAACCAGAAGACCCCAACCACCTAATCTTACACATAAGCTGTTACTGGATCGCTAACAAATCCCATCTCACATAATTGATGGGGTGAAAATTACTCGTATTTGGGGAAACTTTTAAAGTTTTATTTAAACAAAAATGTGTATCTGTTGTCCAGAATAAGTGCTTAACAAATACAAACTAGACATTTTCTCAATATTTTTTGAAGGGTGCCAGTGCAGATGCTGCTAAAAATTCAACATCACATTTGCCATTATCTAAACTCTTTTTATTTTCAAGGTCTGCTTTTTGATGCATGAATGTGTAAAATGTGTGAAATTAAATCATGATCAAAAGAAAAAGGTAAAGCTGTGGACAGTGGCTCATCTTGTTTACCATGACAGCTACGCACATTTCTTTCTCACTCCTTGACAGACAGAAATGTAGACTGAAAAGTAACCTTTAAACAAAACGTGGCAGTGAGAACCCGAAAGTAAAACATCTGAACCCTGAGCAGCAGCTGTTTCTGTAGTGTTTTATGGAGATGTGACAAATTACAAAGACCATTCATTGCCACTTAGGGCTATTCAACTGGTGGCCTGCGGGCCATTTCTGGCCCGTGGGTGACTTCAAGCTGGCCCACCAATGACTTCATTTAAAAAAATGGGAAAAAATGTGAGAGAGTTTAGGTTTTGGGTTCTGTTTATTGCACTTATGATTCAATGCAATAAAATAAACAAATTTAAAAGGTAACAAAGCATTGTAAATCTTGGTTTATTTACATAATGACTTTAATCGCTGGATGTCAGGCCCCTGAGCTGCTGACTTTCAGAAACTGTGGCCCCCTGAGCAGGTTTGTTGAATAGCCCTGATATACCGTATTTTCCGCCGTACACGTCGCACCATCCCATAAGTCGCATCAGTCCAAATATGTCTAATAAAGCGGAAAATCCATACATATATTGCTTTGCCGTATACGTTGCATCTATTATGCGTCACTGCTGACGCATTGTGTTTGTTACGTGTCATCTCTGACAACCCAGAAATGTGGGCCAAACCCGGAAATGTGGGCCAGTGTTGTGCCAAAAATCGGCTGGCTGCCAAATGGTGGCCAAGGGAGCGTGCACGGGAGGACTTTAGCAAGAATTTAACCAGATTAACACTTAAAAACAATTACTTGTTTGCTCAAAATTATTGCAAAGGTGTGTCTCAGTCTAACTTTTGCTTAATAAATGCATTTTGACGGTCAAATTAGCTTCATTTCATCGGGGCAGCGCAGCGAAAGGAAGCTGATTTGATGGTTGCTCCAGGCGAGCTGGACGAAGGTGGCTTCATGGCAAGTCGATTGTGTCACTAATAGCCACTTTTATCTATTACATGACACAATGGCATGCCATACTACTCGAGTTGCATCTATCAGCTGAAAATGGTAGTGTTCGATATTTTCAGTTAGAATGAATGACAACGATCATATCTCAGCCAAAAATTGGTTTATGCATATGGGAAAACAATTCATAAATAAGTTGCT